GGGCTCGAACCCACGAACCGCAAGATCATGACCTAAGCGAAAGTCGGACGCTTAACCGACTAAGCCACCCAGGCGCCCCTGACATGAACTGCCTTGATTGTAGTCCATCATGGACTTAAGTGCCTTACTTATTTCCTATGAGAAATTGTGATTATCTCATAGAATCTTTCATGCAGTAGGTTCTCAATATTGAAGAAGAAAGGAAAATTTATAAAGAGACCTATGTACCTATGTAGGTTATATTACAAATGGCATGTTTACCTACTCATTCATCAGTGCTTGTGTTTTGCATACTTCATTTTTATCTAAGTTTTTTTTTTTTTTTCATCTTTTCCTTGTTACTTTCCGTCACTTTCTGTTACTATTCCTTTGTCTTTTTGATGAAGTCATTTATCAGGTAGTCTGGTGGCAAGAGCTCTTTTTGTTGGGGGAAACCCCAGCTGGAAATATCTGGAGATTTTTTTTTTCTCCTAGGCTTTTCAGTTTCCAGAATAATCATCTAACCTCTTGTGTGAAGGGCATGCATTTTGCTTTCATATGTTGAGAACAAGTTGAGGAAGAAGCCAGGGAGTCCCACTTTCACCTTAATCTATTGTTGAATGTTTGTGTCTCCTGCTCTCTGCTGTGCCCAATACCCTTGAGTACAGTCTTTAACCAGAGAATAGGCTTCTTTTCATCTTGTAGAACTGAAACTTTATACTGATTAAACAACAACCCCTCATCCTCCCACCTTAGCCTTCTTCTTGTCTTTAAAATAGTAAATGAAAATGGCATCTATATGCTTCTCTTGGATTTTGTATCAAGCCCTTTCAGTTTCCTTAGTCTCATCCACAGGCTGTCTTGTCACTGGGCCTCAGCCTCCCTGCGCAGCTTCATCCTCCAGGATCTTTCCATGCAACGCATTCCCAGCCCTGGTTTCCACTCTCCAGTTATGCTGGGTACTTTCAAAATTCCCGAATGTAATGGAAATTTTTTCCTGCTCATGCTGTTATTCTACTCTAGAGTTGCCTTTTTTTCTTTTTCTTTTTCCTTCGAAATACTTTAATTTTATAACTTAGGTCAACGTTACCTGTTTAGTGAAGTCTCCAAGGTTGAACTAATTTCTCATTCCAGTGTGTTTCTGTGGCATTTTGCTTGAACCTATGCTATATCTCTTAATTTACGTGTAGCTAGTTTCTTTAGTCTGCTTCTCTTTGTGGATTGAAAACTCTTGCAGGCCAAGCTTGATTCATCTCTGAATTCCCAGTTATCTGCTCACTGCCGTTCTCTCTGTAGGAAATGTGTAAATATTGGTTCACTGATTCACCAGATATTGATTGAGCTCTCTCTCTAGGCACTGGGGATAAAATAGTGAAAAAAAATATACAAGGTCTCTGATTTCATGGAACTTATTCTAGTGGGAGAGCCAAACCAAACCAAACCAAAAAAAAAAAAGCCAGGTAGGGATGCAGGATGATAGGATAAAGTGCAGTCTTTGGTAGAATGTTCAGCTAGAAAGGATCTTCATGGGATAGAATTAGGTATTTCAGAGCAAGATACCTTTTTGAATATTATATTTCAGTTGACATACATATAACAATATTAGGTTGTTTAATTACAATCAGAACTAGAGTATTAATGTCTAGTAAATTAATCATAATTGTAATGTTTTGTATAAAACTAATTTAGGATCCTCTGTTAACAAACTGAATTTTTTAAATCAAAAGCTCTAGAGACTATTAATGGAATTTAACATTTGCCTATTAACATTTACCTTATGGGCTTAATCAGTATATAGGGTGGATAGGCTAATAATAGAAAATATTAAAATGATTTTTCTGTGTTTTCAGAATTAACTATTAGCATTGAGCATCAAATAATTTTTGACTCTTCTCTTTTTTCCATGCTTCACATTTTTACAATCCATTATCAAATCTGGTTTTCTCTACCCTCAGAATATCCAGAATCTAACTACTTCCCATCACCTCTAACACTAACATCATGGCCAGGTTGCTGTCATGCCTCACCTAGATTTTTTTTACAGTAGTTTCCTAAACTCCTAACTGCCCTAAGACTGTTAACTGAATATAAGGCAGTTAGATTTTGTCACATATCAAGCTTCCAGTGACTTTCTGTCTCACATAAAATGAAAACCGAAGTCTTTCCAGTGGTCTTTGGACCTTTTTTCTGACCTCATCTCCTAATGATCTCCCCAGTTTACTGTACTTCATCCACCCTCTCCTCCATACTACTTTAAAAATACTACTACTTCTAAAGCACATCAAGCATGCTTCTGCCTCAGGACCTTTGCACTTGCTGTTCTCAGCCCTGCACACCCTTCCTTAAGATCCATGTTGTTGACTACCATCTTTCCTTCAGTCTCTGCTTACATGTCACCATACTAGAGAAGTCTTTTCTGCTCACCTGTATAAAATGGCAAGCCCTCTTCCTCCTACTCCCCCACCCCACTTCCCATCCTCTATCTTTGTTATTTCTACTTTGCCCTTAACATCATCAGACATAACATATTTAGTTTTTTTGTTTATATTGTACTCCCTACACATACTTAAGGTCAATTTCAAGAAAGCAAGGATTTTGTGCATTTTATTCTTATATCCTTAATACCTAGCAGAGTGCCAGAAATATGGTAGTTATTCCATAAATATTTGTCTAACAAACGAGTGAGTTAGATGTATAGATGCGAGCCTGAATCTTAGGAAGTAATCACTCAACAGACTTTTATCATGCTCAACACTGTTATCTGCCCAGGCACAGACTGCTTTCAGACCCTGACTTTTGCTGGGCCACATGAAAATGTGCAGATTGGTTGCACATTTGGCCTTCTTCACTCAAACTCTGCAAAGAGGCTTTAGTATGATTGCCAGTAATATGTCCATCCTGACATTGTAGTGGGTATTTGTTGATGATCTACTTTTGTTTATGAGTTTCCACCAAAGGAGAAGGCAGCACAACTCTGGGTGGTGAGCCAACAAGTGCAGCATTTCCTGTGTCATGCTGCTTCATATTTGAAAAGAACAGTGTGAAAATAAAGTAACTAATATATCCAAGACAGTTTGATTGAAGAATTACATTTTTAAAATAATAATTTTATGGCTTTTTTAATGCAGTACATTTCTCAATTTTATCTGACAGCTCGTCAGATAATTAAGAGTGACACGTATTGCTAAAAAACCATTGTGGGTTATCATTCACCTATGTTCTTTACCATGAACCAAAAACAAACGAAAACTGTGTTTGAGTTTGGCCTTATGTAGTTTGCTAACCTGTAATCAGGAACTAATGAAAAATAAAATACTGAATATGGGTTGCCAGAATGTAGAGAAGCACTGGCCTCGATAATCAACACCTTCATGATCCTGAAAACAGAGACTTGGCAGTATCCCATCATTGGATGGCCCTGAAATATTACGGTAACAGGATCCAAAGTGCAATTTCACATCATCTTTTCCCAACACAATTTTAGTATTTCTGGTTGTTTTTTTATTTCATACTATTTTTAAACATTTTAATATGTGCTGAATTTTAATTCCAGCTTAAAAATAATTGCCCACACTTCTAAGAAGAGAGAGAAAAATACGGTTCCTTTCATGTTGACTTTCCTATTTATTATGACCCATGAACTTAGAGCTTGATTTATATGTTCTTTTTTTTTTTTAGGTTATGTATTTATTTTGAGAGAGAGAGGGAGTGAGAGAGTAGGGGATGGGCAGAGAGAGAATCGCAAGCAGGCTCTGCACTGCCAGTGCATAGCCTGATGTAGGGCTCAGACTCACAAACCACGAGATCATGACCTAAACCAAAGTTAGACACTTAACCAACTGGGCCACCCAGGTGCTCCTATATGATCTTTTTAAGGTTTTGTTATATGTGAAAACTTGTCTGATTTTAGAATGCTCATTTAAAAAATTACTTAAGAGTTGTGTGTAGTAAACTTTTTTGAAATATTATATACTTACAGAAATGTATATACACAGATCACAAGTGTATGACTTAATGAATTTAAGATTTGTGAATAGTTTCTCAATTACATTTCAGACACTAATATCGGGAGCTGTAGTAGAACAACTTGACTTCCTACGAATCAGTGAAACAGAAGAGTAAGTCCTTTTGGGTTATTGTTAGAAAAGCAGGAAATTAGAATTAGAAATACAGGAAATCTGAAACTTTTTCTTTTAATTTCTAGGCTTCCAGAATTTAAGAGTTTTGAGGAACTAGAACTTCCCAAACATTCAAAAGTCAAACGACAAAGCAGTACCCCCAGTGCTCCTGAACTAGAGCAGCAACCAGATATCTCCATTACTGAATGGAAGAACAAGCCCACCCATGAAATTCTTCAAAAACTGAATGTGAGAAAGATGTATTTCCCATATGACTCTGAGTGAGGTTGGCAGGCAGGAATTCTCAGGGTCAAGCCAGAAGGTAGATAGAAGTACCTGGGAATGGATGGCCTCTCTCTATATTAGGGGCAGTAATGAGAGATTTTTCTTATGGTCTAACGTTAATTAACATGGATGTCTTAAAGATGCTTAAGGAGTAGGGATAAATTGGGTTGCCTTGGGTATGCAGGTATTAAATGAGCCATTAAAGAAGTTATGTCAGAAATAGTTGCCTTTGGGATCTCCAGACTTCTTATTTAGTACACTTCCCCTCCTTTTCCCAATTTAGATCTTCTCTCCTGCCCCAGCATTTAGGTCTTAATGCTTGCTGTAAGTCTCTCCAGTCAGTGAGGAAAGCAATCCTCTGACCACATTCATGTGAATATTATGTACTAACCTAATTTTTACCTTCCCTAAGATTATTTGCATTTTAAAAGAGGTGGGGTGAGAGTGGGGCTTAGTTGTTATTAAAGGAAATGAAATTCTAATGATAGAACTAAAACACTAAGACATCTTCTTGGGCCATACCACAAATTTGAGCATGCAGGTTAAATATATCTTTCCAGACATTATTAGTCCTTGTTATTGACTGACATTATACATAAATCTCCATTAACATGGGTATGATATGGTAGGTATAAAACACATAGCATGGTGCCATAATACATATAAAGCACTCTGTACATGTCTCCTTCTTTTATCCATCTCCTCATAATGGGTTGATAGCAGCACAGTCTCTCATTTATGAATATGCAATGCCCAAAAGGGAATGGTTGAATGACATGGCCAAATTCCTCAGTGAATGGCAGAATCAAGTATTAATCAAATATTAATGCTTGTAGACATGTTATATCCCTTGCTTATCTTATTTCCTGGATAATTTGATTATTAAATACTACCCCATCAGGAAGCCAATTTGTCTACTCTCTGTCTCCAAGTTAACTCAGGTAAATAGTTGTGTAATGTCATCTAATGCTTAATAGTATAACATTTTATCTTTAATTCCATAGCAGATTTCCTCTCTGCATCATGTGATTACATCTCTGTGGTTACTTTTGTACCCATTTTATTCCACTGACTCACAGTGATTTGTATCTCTAGGACTGCAGTTGTCTGGCTAGCCAAGTCATCCTGCTGGGTATCCTGCTCAAAAGAGAAGGCCCTAACTTCATCACCAAAGAAGGTAAGTGTACATGCCTAAGAGAAAATGTTTAAATAATGAGACCTCTCTATTCTTGGATATATATCAAATATACCTTATGAATAGATACTAAAATGTTATGTTGTTTTATCCTCCATTAAACCTTTTTTTAATCCTTTACATGGAAAATGTTTACTCATCCCCCCTAGAGTAGAGGAGACTGATGTATGAACTCCTAAACTGTTTTCATGCAGTGATGCTTGTTTGTTTCTCTGACTGTCTGAATGGTGTTAGAGCCTGATTCTGCCTGTGACTGTTAACCTCTGATGACTTCTTTCATAGCTTTTTATTGACAGTTTCCATTTCCAGTTTCATTCTCTGTCTTTTTAAGAACAATATTGAATCGTTAAGGCTATAAAAATTAGTTCCTTCATGGTCTGCAGCAGCCATTTGAAATGGAACATGGCTTTTAATAGATTTGTGCTCTAAACATTGTTAATAAAAATAAATCATTTCTAATGATGTCCACTCTGCATTAGGATATAACCCAATTACCCCTGAAATCCACACTTGTATGTTGAGTCACTTGAATTCTACATCATGGTCTGCTTCTGTCATTTTATTATATAGAATAATATAGAATACATTCTAAGACACTCAAAGTTTTTGGCTCATCTGAAAATCCTCTGTTAAAGGGATATGTTGATTTCGTTAGAATTAGAAACTGAGTCAGTATTCTGAACAGCAGTGTGATTAATAAGATTTATAGTTTTGGTAGTGAACAAACATAATTGTGTATTCAAATAAGTTGTATTTAGTTTTTACATTATTGTAGCTAAGAGATAAACTTCTTGAATATTATACATGTCACATGAATAGTCTTAATTTTCTTAACTGATTAAAGGCAGAAAAACTTTCAGCATATTTCAGACATAATCCTTCATGTTTTTAATTAGTCTTGAAACTGAGCAGAATCCCAATTATATTGAGGACATGATTGAAATTCATACTTTAAAACAATAGGATTTTTGTAAAAAGCAAACATTTTATTAGGAACCTGGAATTCAGACTAGTTACTTTAGTAGTGCTTTAAAATAAAACAAAATTTATATAAAATAGTTTATAATGAGAATGCTGAGAGAATTATTTTTAAAACTATTTTTATAAACTTGGGAATAATACTAATCTTTTCTTAGATATTTGAGAGACTGAGTTTTTAAATCTGTAAAATCATACACATTGAAAATCATAAGCATCTACAGAATTGAATATAATTTTATCCAATTTGTTATAAAGCTATAAAAACAAAATGGTAAAATGATAAAGATATTGTTCTCTACCCTTGTTTCCTTTTTGCTACTCTCTCCTGTCACCATCATTAATTTATTGATGACAAGCCAGTCATGAGGCCAAACCACATGTTCATTGCCAAAGAATGAATTCCAGTGGTGTCTTTTGAGGACTAGTATGTATTGGAAGGATCATGCACATAACAGTGTCTCTGTAAAGTTTTGTGAAACTTTAAATGAAGAATCATATATATTCAGAGTCTATAGTATTTGTTCAATTTGCTGTATTTTGTTGATTTTCTTTTGTAAATTAAAATAACTTATTTTTATTTGTTAAAAACTTAGATTGCATATTACTTAAGAAGACAATAAATTTCAAGAAATAAAGTACTCAGCAAAATCATATGCTCAAACTAAATAGTAACAAGGGCTGGGACATTCACACTTTACATTTGGGTCACATATTTGAATAAATGTTATGCATTTAATTAAAAGGTTTTTTTTTTTTTTCAACAAAGACTCTATTATCTAATGTCTAGGTACCGTTTCTGATCACATTGAGAGAGTCTATAGAAGAGCTGGCAGCAAAAAGCTTTGGTTCGTATTAGTGTCTTTGTCATAATGTTTTATTTTTGGTGTTGTCATGTTTAAAGGCATAAATATAAAATAGACCAATCTTAAAAATGATTATCCAAATTTTTACTTTCTTTTAATTTTAGAGAGTGTGAATGAGGGAGAGGGGCAGAGGGAGAGAGAAAGAAACCTAAGCAGGCTCCGTGCTTAGTGTGGAGCCCACCATGGGGCTTGATCCCATGACCCTGGGATCACCACCTGAGCCTAAAATCAAGAGTCAGATGTTCAACCGACGGAGCCATCCACGTGCCCCAAATTTTTGCTTTTAAACTCCAAGGTTATGACATGATTCTGTCTACTTTCAAAGGATCTGCCTACATTCCATTGTATCATGGCTTTCCCAGGATATTAAAAATAATGTCTAGGAAAAAAGACCTCCATAGGAATAGAAACTAGAAAGTATATTCACTAGAGTGAGATGCTAATGAGGCTTCCCTACACTGCACCTGCTCTGTCCCAGCAAGGTGCTTTAGGTTCTACTTTGTATTCAGGAAATAGATTCTGTGATCATAGAAGGCCATGAAAAGAGACCAATGGTTCATTTAATCATAAGCAAATATAATAGAAGGCAGTTCTCTCACCTCTTAAGTTAGAATGAATCCCAGTGATTATAGTTGCTTCATGTAAAATAACTAATATGTTCTGCAAAAGTAGTCTCCCAAGGATTGAAAATAATTAGGTAAGTTGAGATAAAATTGTTTCAATTCACAGTTGAGGTAGTTATGCCTAAATGCATAGCCTCTGTATTTTGAAGCAATTCTAACCAATTTACTGGAAGAATCTAACATTTTAAAAGTAAGAGTACATGTATTTTTTTAAAAACCCATTATTATCTCATCTTGAAAAAAAAGATTTCAAGCAATGTCATTAGAAACTTTCATAACCTTGATGAGCCTCAGGTTTCTAATCCCTAAAGTAAGAGAATTTGACAAAACAATTTCTTAGCAGTATTTCAACTCTATGATTTATAATAAATATATCATTCCAACCCAGAAGAAATAATATAATAATCCTCTTGCTAAATCTCAAATTTTCACTGAAAATTCTCAACACAGTAAGGCATATAAGCCAATAGATGTTGCTTTTAAGCCAGTAAGTTTCAAATATGGTCTCTAGTCTTATTTTTTGCTAAGCAGACCTGTTTTTCTTTATGTTATTATGCTTGGATTGTAGATAAAGCATTAACTAGTACATATTTAGAATGGTGTTATGTTTAAAAGAACAAATGCCTGGAAGTTTATTTACTGTATTTTCCCTTTTATGGCTTTCCACTGACACACCCAGGTTGGCGGTACGCTACGGGGCTGCCTTTACCCAGAAATTTTCTTCCTCTATAGCCCCACACATTACTACTTTTCTGGTACATGGGAAACAGGTAACATACACAGAATGTGGAGAAACTCAAGCTGCTTGAAATGTGTGGGCTTATTTGCACTATGAGGGTTAAGTATGTCTTTTGGTCTTAAAGTGTGTGGGCAAAAGCTTCTCTAAAAGTAGAAGTGTTTGTTTCACTAACTTTATCAGTTATTGACTTAATTTTCTACTAGTCCATCTATGTTGAGATTAAAATATAAATGTGTTTTATAGGTCAGCATACATGATACCCTGAAATACAGGAAAACAGTTTTAAGCCTATATTTTCATTTTATTTTCTCCATCTAGAAGTTTCACATGAATTTTACTTTTGAGGGAAAAAAATGTCTTATATATTGCATGTGCCATGCTTTAAAAAAAATCTGTTCTCTCTACAGTCTGAGACTTTTTCAGAAATGTAAAAATAGCAGTGTGAATTCCTTCCTCCAATATTCTGGCTTTATCAGAAAAAAAATGCTGGTATTTCATTGTGTCACTTCCTAAAATTGAGTACTAAGCGAGTCCCCAAATCCAGGGATTTGGTTATCTAGGCACCAAAAGGAACATGATTTAAAGTGGTTATAGGAATAGATGACATTTATCAGTGACAGACTTAATAATGAATTTTTTAATGCAAAATCAGAATCCTCACTTAATTCCTTCCCCCAGTCCCCATCAAAGAAAGGGATGGTTAGGCTCCCTTTTACTTTCTTTTTAAATTGATAATGACACGAACAGTGCTGGTAACAGAGGTGAGAATGAGAGATCCCCCCTAATTCTGGATGGTCCGCAGGTTGGGGGACTTCAGCTATTAGGTCCAGTGTCTTAGGCTCAGTATTTCCTCCAAATTATTATGTGAGGACTTAATTGCACATTTTTCAGTCTCTTCCATCAGGGGCCACATTCATTCATCATCTTTTAGATTTGTCAACCTCTGGCATGCTCTTTTCTTTGCCCCCAGGTCGGTTGTGCGCTGTGCAGCAAGTCTTTTAAGTAAAGTAGTGGACAGCCTCGCCCCATCCATTACTAATGTTTTAGTGCAGGGCAAACAGGTAAGTGTCTGATTTTCAGACTCTCACTTGGTCACAATCACAAATTTCTGGATAGGCATCTTGCTTTTAAATCTGGCAAACCTCAGTGTCCTAGGCCTTTCAACCGCATTAACAATGGCTCAGGCATTTCTACAGAAGGCTTTTTCCCCAAGCAAAAACCTGGTCTTAAAGATGTACAGTTACTAAGTAGACCACCTCTTTTTCCTGCTATACCTTAGAGCAGTGATTTTCAATTCCTATGTTGAGATTAGTGAAGATGCTGACCCAGAAAATGGACTAATTAATACCTACTGAGTTACTCCAGAGAGGTTTAGGATAGGCAGGACAAAGACAGGTGAATAATGAAGGGCACATTTTTCCTTCTACTCCATATGAGAGTCTTCTCACCCTTAGAAATACATTGGCTCCCCAAATCCTTAACCTCTTGAGCCACCTCTCTCTATAGCTTCTCCACTCCTATAAAGGACAGCTCTTGGCAGTTCCTCTCACAGAGCCATCTCTATCTAGTTAGCGACAGCCCTTCTCTCCACTGAGTTCTCAAAACAAGCTCATGACACCTTCTCACAGTCCACCCTGGATTCCATCCCATTTCAGTGTATGTCTCTCTACTCCAGGATAGGCTGTGAACTCCTGAAAGTCAGGGCCCAGGTCTGGTCCTGTCCCAGCATGGGGTCTGGCTTGGAGTAAGCACTTGATGAATATGGCTTGAATTGAGCCTGTGCATGTGGTTATGCAGAGTGGAATGTGGCTGCTCCTTTTTTGTTTTGTTTTTCAAAACCTCTAATTACCTGGCTGAACCATCATTTGGTTGGAATGAAAAGCTGTTTGCTTTCTTTCTCTTTAGGAATGTGTGTGCTTTATTGTGTTTTCTTGACAGTTAACCTAGGGATATAATAAACTTTAATATGAAATACTTGTAACCCTCTTTAAAAGAATCACCCCACTGCTTATATTTCAGGGCTCTTAGTTCATTAAAATTGAAATTATTTCATCTTGACATCCAGCTTGAAATGTTAGAATAGTAAGTTATTTTATCCTGTAACATTTAATAACAATGACAAAACAATAATGCTAATTAAAAACTCTTAAGGAAAAGTTAAATCACTTTCACATATGTTATTATCTCTATTTTCTCCAAATTATTAAAAGGTAGAATTTTCATCCTCATTTGTCAGCTGCATAGACCAAGTTACAGGAAGTACCTTATCCAGTACCCTTTCTCACCATGGTCCTCACCTCTAGCCATAGTCTTGTATTGTTGTCCTGGACTGAACCACCTCTGAAAGAAAGTAAATGGACTTGTGAGAAGTTATTTTTCCTTGGATTTTAAGTCCCTGTAGTATATCTGAAAATACAGTTAATTCTATATGAGAAGGTTTTGGAGATCTTTGTGGTCACTGGCACCTGACACTTGGAGAGGGATAGGTTAGTCATGTCCATTCTGTGCATTATATAGAGGCGCTTGCAGCTTGTGATCCTGATACTCTACTCTCCATGTCCTGGAAGGCTTGCATCCTGTCCTGAGGCTGTGGCTGGACCATTGCCCATCAGACCATCACATATCCCAGGGAAACAGTCACTTAAGAGCTGAGTAAGCCTGGGAGGCTGACAGCTCAGTGCATGAAGTCCATTCACTGACTGCATCTTACCCCTTTACAAAAAAGAAATGAGAATGGAGCATTCAATGTTTGCATTTGCTCATTTAAGAAATACTGAAAGTTAATACTGTTTCAACAAAGCACTTTCAGATCACCTCAAGCTCTCTGGAATGAAATAGTGGTTTAGTCATCAATGCTCCCAGAGGTAGTGATATGCCTTCTGTTTGTTTTCTTCTTTACACACTGACATTTTAATAAAAGTAATCGCACTTGGACTAACTAGTTGGTGCCACTTGTGACCTAATAAACCAGAAGTTCTCAGTTTTCACTGTATCACAGATTTGGGGCAAAAGACCCCATCTTCTACTCTTTTCCCTCATCTCTGAAAACACAAGGCCCTTTGATAAGCTCTTCATTTTCCCACCTCTTATAATCATGCACTCTCCATGGAAGAAAGAAGGAGAAGGGTAATGAGGAGGAAGGAAGGGCTGCAGTCTCTTCTGGGAGACAAGATGCCAAGGATAGAGGAGAGAGAGAGACCAGAGTATTCCTCTTGCCAGCTTCAGCAGCACTCTCTGCTTTGAGTTTTGTTGTCATTTCCCTCTGTGCTTTCTCATTTCCTAGGCCTGTGGGCAGCCTCATTTATCCCCCTCCACAGGTGAGAGATACATCAACAAGTATTTTAATACTCACTATGTACCTAGCACTATGCCAAGAAAAGTGGGGAGGGGGGGGCTACACTAGAACCATATGACCTTACATCTGCCTTTGAAAGGTTATAGTGTCGTTAAAGAGCAAAAGTTCCACATGAGAAACTATAAAAGCAGAGAAAAATATACTCTCAAATACTAAATTGTATAGACTGTGCAGTAAAGTAAAACTATCGAATGTATTTTGGTTTCTCTGGGGAGTTTCTAGTACTAAAGTCATTTAGAATAATTTTCTCTTAATAGTAATTCATATTCCTTCCCTGCTTTTATCCACTCACCTTCACTCCCCTAACTGGGACCCTTACCTGCCTTCATATTTTAGACCAGACTATGAACCATCATGAACTCCAGTGGGAGTCACGCTTTGAAAGCCATTTTAATAAATAGCAGGAACAGTTATTCTACCTAATTCCCTAGCTCACATAGAGTAATTTCAACCTGCCAGTCATCCTGAGCCTTGATTTTTTTTTCTTTTATCTTTTAGTAGCTAGGAAATTTTTGCAATAAAATTCTGCTACTTATAGGTAACTCTGGGTGCCTTTGGGCATGAAGAAGAGGTTATCTCTAATCCTTTGTCTCCAAGAGTGATTAAGAACATCATCTATTACAAGTGTAATACCCATGATGAGAGGGAGGCAGTCATTCAGCAAGAATTGGTCATCCATATTGGCTGGATCATCTCCAATAACCCAGAGTTATTCAGTGGCATGCTGAAAATACGAATTGGGTGAGTAAAGTGCTTTGTGTTTGCATAAAAGAATTGTTCAAGGTGTCCTCCAACACATATGGCCTGTCCCAGGCCTGGTGGGTATCTAGGAAAGCACATCTTTCTCTGAAGTAATAGAGGGAACATCTGGTGGTGTGAAGAAATAAATATCTGTGAACGGAAAGAATCTTCCTGATTTTTTAACTCCCATGTTAGACATAATGAAGTAACTGTTCTCTGGTAAAATCAAACTCCAGGGATTTAAACAGCTACATCATGTTTTAAAAGGAAACAAAACAAAACATGAGCATAATACTGGTAAAACTTTCTGTAAATAAAATGGGTAAGCCTTAAGAGAAGAATGAGTTCCAGTAAAATTGGGTGTCAGTAAGATATACACCTTGGTAAATTTTTTTGTCCTTTTAACAATATTCTGCTGCATCCATTTTCTACCAGAACCTTATTTTTAATTATTAAAATCATAAATGTTCTGTTTGGAGGAGAAACTAAAAGTAAGGGTCTGGTAATCTTGAATCCTCTTAATCAGAAATTTTGTGAGGCAGTGTAGTAGGGCAAGTTGATGAGGCTTGGGCATTCAGGACTGAGTGTGAGTCCTGGACACCACTTACCACTTTAGTGACCTGGGATGAATGACGCTCAGCCTCTCTAGCCTCATAGCCTCACTTTCATACCAGGCTCATTGTTTTATGTGAGATGAAATGAGAGAATATGTTTTTAAAAACTACCACAACCAAAAAAATATAAATGTTTCTTTTCTTTAACATATTTTTTATTGTAACATACATGAATATATTCTAATTGTAAGAATCAAACAATACTGTGTATATGAAGTAATCTAATATATGTCCAGTTGGGGGATGTTCCTCAAGTGTTTAAAAAGAATATACAGTCTGTCAGGCACAAATATATGTGAGTGTGTGTGAGTATGAATAAGTGTATAGCTTCCTAATTATCTAATTGGATCATTAGTATCTTTACCATTTCTGTCCTACTTGATCCTGAATTTTTGGTGAAAAGTCTTAATTTCTCATTTTAGTTATGGATTTATCTCCTTCTCCTTGCAGTGTTATCAGTTTTGCTTTGTATATTTTAGAGGGTTTCTTTTCTTTCTTTTTTTTTTTGGTCCATGTTACTTAATAATTTGAAAAATATATCTTCCTTTGGGCCATTTATTTTCTACTTGAATTCTTTTTTTTTAATTTTTTTAAATGTTTTATTTATTTCTGAGAGAGAGAGAGAGACAGCATGAGCAGGGGAGGGTCAGAAAGAGAGGGAGACACAGAATCTGAAACAGGCTCCAGGCTCTGAGCTGGCAGTCAGCACAGAGCTTGACGCGGGGCTCGAAACTACGAACTGAACCGTGAGATCATGCCCTGAGCCGAAGTCGGAGGCCCAACCGACTGAGCTACCCAGGCGCCCCTACTTGAATTATTTTAAAAACATTTTAATTTCAAACATTTATAAATATATAGAGACTAGTAATGAAGTCTTATGTGCCTATACTTTCACTCAGATTATCATCCTATGCCCTATTTACGACCCACCCCACCTACGCCCCCTCTAGGATTAAAGCAAATCCATCGTACCTGTTTTCTTCTGCTTTCTTCTTCTGTCATTATTAGCTTAGGATACTGTCTTCTATCTCTTTACCTTTAATGTTCTTTTTTCATATAGTATAGAGATATCTTTTACATTCTGATTTTATGCTGTATTTATTTTTAATCAATCTTAGATTATTTTTTCATTTCTTCTCTATTTTGACTTATTAACTCCTGCCTTTTCTTTTTCTGTTTACCACCCTTTCTTTTTGCTGTTTTTCCACTTTCTTCTTTGTGCTGTATTGATTTCCCTTTTGTTTCTTAGTTTTAATTTTGCACGTGAGTGTGAAGTACTTTATGAGAAATGATTACCCAGTTTTTCCTGCAAAAATTTTCATATAAAAAAACTAGTTGTTTATTTGTCAGTATCTGTGTACCTCTTGTTTCAATTTGCATTCTACAAATTTAGACCTATTTTATAGCACCCATCATTCCAGCAGTGTTTGAAACAGTGAAACATTAGGAACAAGCTGCATTTCTATCCATCACTAGCAAATAGTTTAAATAAATTTTGATAGCCATGTAGTAAAATGCCATGCAGCCATTACAAGTAACAAGAGAAAGCCTATACTGACATTTATAAATGTCCAAGATAAATTAAATGAAACAATAAGTAAATTGCAAATGTATTCTTCCATTTTTTAATAAAAGAGAAATAATAATACTGCATATATATGTATGTATGGGAAAATACCTGAAAATAGACATAAAATTGGTGTCCGTTATTTTCTCTAGGAGAGTTCTACTTTTAAGTTATATTTTTCAGTTTTATTTCAAGTTTTTTATTTGATGTTTTTATTTTTAAACTGCCTGATTTCAATTATAGCATACTTCAGGTGAATTTCCCAATCTTTAGCTCTCCTTTCTTTTGATATCAAGAAGTGAGTTCACTCAGCATAGTACTTGACCTTAATTTTTATCCCTAAAAATTGTTCTTTTCAAAGATTTAGAGGTATTCTAAATCAATTGTAAGGACTTTGAATCATACCCTGATTTGTTCCATGTGTTTGCTCTAATATTTTTAATTCCAACCTCTTGACTACATATAAGGATACAGAAATGGGTCTTTCATGGAAGTTGTCCCTAAATGAAAGGAAATGTGATTCTCTGTATCCATACCAGGTATTAAAAGTACTCTATTGTCCCAAACTCAGCCATTTCTCTGAAGCTGACTGAGAAGCAAAGGTTATAACTCTTCCAATGCACATTCTTTGTAATAAATGTTCTATTCAGGAGAGCCTCTTTAAGTGATAGTTATCCTTGCAGAGGTTTAAGCAAAGCCTTGGAGTAAAAGTTAACAGTTTCCCTGGATTTTACTTCCAATGATGTGTTTTTCAGCCTTTAGTGCTTTTCCTTTACTGCTTATTCAGCATTATAGGATAATTTATTTTCTTCCAAAAACCACTGGAATTTCCTTTCTTGAATTCATATCTGATCTGAAGCTTCTTTCTCTTCATGGAAATGAAATATGTTTAATTTATTCTAAAAATAGTTTTCTTCCTTTTTTTTTTTTTGGTATCTGCTACTCTATATGTTTAAGTGCCTTCCATGAGAAATAACATTCTTTTTTCCTTAAACTGTGTCACCCAAAAATAAAAATGTCAGGACAGCAGCATGTGACTTAGTATTTAATGATAGCAGAAAATCTTCTAATGAAGATTTGCCATGAATCTTTAATTATTCATTGTCCTGAAACTCATCCTGGAATTAGTTGTGGCATTATATTTCCATTGTGAGTATTAACAGTGTCCCTGCCTAACTCATTAATGTGTATTTCCCTCTCATGTGGGACTCTTAGGGTCAGCTCTAAATACTGGGACATTTTTAGTTGGAGAGAAGTCTATTTTTTCAAAAATGTATAATTTATTTGAGAAATTTACTTCTGCTAACAATATGGACTACATCTTATCTTCCTGTGTGTGTCAGGTCTAGCTCACAGGAGATGCTCAATAAAAGTCTACAAATTGTTTAATATATAGGTTATAAGCAGACTCAGATAGCACGCTTTCAGCCAGTGATGGGGATTTTAGGAAAAATAAAATATAGCATATCTCTGTGCTTATTAGATAAAGAAACAAAGGACTCTCTTACTTTTGATAAATACCTTTGATTTGTACAAGTTGTGTCCTTCAAGAAATTACCAAGTTAAATAGGGCTTTGTTTGTATGAAAATCTAGTCATACATGCAGAGGGTAGAAGGATATAGCACTTTTCATCATTCATTTATTAATGGAGTGGTGCAGTTAATCACATCAGAGTATGCTATGAGTTGCCTTACACTGGTACCTCTCTAAACAGCATTCCCAATAAGGATCTAAGGGGATACCCATATAAATAACAAACGTGTGGTTAGTGCACTCGTAAGTTCACTGTGATAAACTATTTCCTCCTCTTCTTCCAACATAACCAATAACCAGTAAATAACAAATATTATTTACTGAATGCCTATTATTATATACTATGCAATGTGCTAAAATACTTCTCATATATTATCTCATTTAATCCATTCAACAACTTTGAGGCAGGCAGTAGTACCCCCATTTTAAAATCAACAAATCAAGATTCAGAAAGCTTAGATGACCTTAGTCAAACCAGTATGTCAAGTGGGAATTATACCCAAATCTGCCTGACTCCAAAATTCTTCTTTTTTAATCTTAAGTGCTTTGTGTGTGCTTTCACTTATGTATGTATACTGTTGCAGGGAATCAGGCATTGATGTTTTTCTAAAACCTTATGGCCATTATGGTCTCTTCTACATGATTTCAACTTATGACCCATTTTGTGTTCAAGTATTCATGTAGCAATTACGATGCACATTGGCTCCAGATGGTATTTGTCTTTTGTTTATCACTTCTCTAATTTGGCATCAGTACAGTTTAGCATTGTACAGTGCAAGGCACACCAAGAAGTCTGAATAGTTAGATGTTAACATGATAAATGAGATTTTGCCCTTTTATTCATCATGAGACCAAACAAATGGGGATGATTTGGAACTGATTCTAAATTAGCCCTTTGTACACTGCAAGAAATGCATTAAGATACTGTGAAATTTTAGCAAAGTAACTTGCCCAAGGTCACAAGACTGTGAATCAGGAACTGAACCTAAATAAATGTCGCCAGTGTTCATGTTTCCCCACCCCCAATTCCAGCTCTCTTATCCATAAAATAGAGAAGCTATCCCTGCTTTGGCTTCCTCAGTGTATTGTGGGGATTGTGGTTAAGAATGTGAAGATGTTTTGCAAACCTTCAAGAGTATTGCTGTGACATTCAGTAATTTAAGGTCCTCTATCATGTGGCTTTTGGAGAACAGGTAACTCTAGGGATATCTTTATACATCCCAGAAACCCGAAGAAGGAGGAACCTCTCCCATCCAACATACATTCATATTCTCTCTCTGTCTCT